GGCCTGCGCGTGGTGGCGGCGGCGGCGGCGGCGCAGCCGCGATCAACCCCGACGACAGCTCGGCCTTCCCGGCCCTCGCGTGAGCGCGCGCTTGCGCGGCGCGCCTGGCGACAGCCTCCCAGGCTCCAGCGCGCCACACCTGAGGCCGGCGCTTAGTCAGCCGGCGGGCTTCACCAGCAGCATGAGGGCCGCGTGTAGGGCTCTTGCATCTTCACCAAGGCGGGCCCCTCCACGGGCGGCCGAGGTAGGGACAGTGAGCGGCAGCAACACCGCCGCCACGAAAGCACCACTTTGAACGACGTGGCGGATGCCACCTGGCGGGGCGGCGTAATCGCGGAGGGGGTGGTGGCCGAGCTTCCTGGCCCGGCAGGTGGCCTGCGGCTATCGGGCACTTGCGATGGCGTCGGGCTGCCAGCCCTCATCACGCAAGGGGGTTTGGGTTTAAGGGAGGGTCGCGGCGTTCGGCACCCCACCTGCCTGGGTGCACTGGCGTGCGCCTCATCCAAAGGCGCCATCCACGAAACCCCCTTGCACGCCCGATCAGTGCCGGGCCCACCTCATTTGCCCCCTCAGCAAACTGCGTTTGTGCCACGCCTGCGCGCCGCCTCAGCAGGACGCTCGTCGCACCATCTATAGCACCCAGTACATGCACAGGCCGGTTGGGAAACCTCACCGCCCTCCACTTGGCTCAACCGTTGAGCTTTTCGCTTTTGCGCGTGTCCTTTCGCCTTATTGAGTCCTCTCCACCCTTCTCACCATGAGTCAAACGAATTGTCGTGGCTATGCGTGCATGCTGGAAAAGCCGGGAGCCATCCGTCCACCTGCCCCTTTCGCGTGCCACGCTGGCGCGAAAGCGCACGCACGCCACGCCTCGGGAACCTCAACCTCTTTTCGTGCTGCCTTGCACCTGTTTTGGCGCGCGCCGCAATGATGAGCCGATGCGGTTGGTGAGCCCCCTGGCAAGCTCGAGAGCAGGGGCCCGGGTGCGATCCTGCGCGCCTGGGCCCTGTCTTGGGGTGCGCGTGGTCGCCGGCTGACTCTACGTGATGCTAGGGGTCTGCACGGGGGTTTGCCCGGGTTGTGTAAAGCTTCCAGGTGGCATAATGACTGACCTACGCCAGTGGTGGTGTCAAGCTGAAAGCACACAGGCTTGAGTCACTGCCCTCTGCGGACTGCTGCAATTTTCTGCCACGCTGGCTCTGCTTTGCAACTAATCAAGAGGATTAGCAGCTTGCTGGCCGTACAGTGAATATCATAGACACGGATTTAACAAGTTCATGCATTTACGTGCATACGGTGTGCTGGCAGATCCACCGTACTGGGTACTCTCATGCTTCGACGCTTCAATGCATCACACAGCTCACGACAACTGCGTGATCCAAAGCTGATCTCATACCAAGTCATTCGTTCGACTGGCCAGGCGTGAGGCAAAGACCGTGACATAGCGGTGTGCCGTCGCCAGCGCGGCCATCAGCACCGCGACAGCCTGCATCATGGACGTGTTGGCGGGCTTCAAGTAGAGCAGCTCTACCAGCTGCACGCGGCCCTTTGGAGCGCTCCTAGGCGCCCAACCCCGCCATGAGCGCCATGGCAGCCGCAGCGCCGCCGGCACCCCAGGCGCAGGCGCCCACTCAGGCGGCTTCCCCGGCCGCCCCACCAGCCCCCGCCCCCAGCGGCAGCCCCGCCGCGGGGGCAGCGCCCGGCCGCCTGCTGTATCTGGTCGTGACGCAGGGCGCCCAGGCCCCGGAGCGACGAGACGGTGGCCGCCCCGCGGGCGCCCGCTACACGCGCGACAGCGTCCGCTCCCTGCTCCAGCTGCTGGGCTGCAAGCCGCGGCTGGCCCACAAGATTGCAGCCCTGGTCTTCTCATCCGTCGAGGCCCTCGTGGCGCCGCCCGCCACCGGCGCCGGCGGCCGCCAGCAGCGCACGAGCCGGCGGCAGTTTGCCGTCCACGCCCACGGAAGGGACGGGCGCGTCGCCGTCAGCCTGCCGCGGGCCGAGTTCCTGCAGCTCGTGTCGGCGGCCGCGGCCCAGTTTTCCTACAAGATCGCCCCCGCCAGCGACGAGCTTAAGGTGGCGACAGGGTGAGGCGGGGCGCACGCCTCGCGGCGCGACAGCAGCCAGCGGCTGCAGGGGGGCGACTGCCTGCGTGCGCTCAGCCTAGTCTGTGTGTGACCAGGGGTGCACACACGTACTCGCATGCATAGACGCATATCAGTTTCTGCTTTGACGCGCAGTTTCAGCCCCTGGCCATGCCGCCTTTCTTTGACTGGCCCCACCATTCGCCCTGACGCGGGCCTGCATCTGGCCCCACATCCACGCCCCACACCAACCGCGCGACCCCAGGCTGCGGGAGCGGCGGCGCTGCGTGATCGTGCTGCTGTGCGGCACCAGCGGCAGCGGCAAGTCCACGCTCGCGTCCCTCCTGGTGCGCGGCGGCGCGCAGCGCGCACGCGCGGGCACGGGACCTCGCTCGTGCGACGAGGCGCGGCACTGGGACGCCTCCCCGCACGCACGGCTCACCCTGCTGCGTGACGTGCACAGCTGCGCGAGCCCCTGCGCCTCCACCCGGCGCCTCCCCCCTCCCGACCATCTTCTCACATGCCGGCGTGACACCCCCCCCCCCCC